CCCCCCCCCCCCCCCCCAGGCTGCCTGGAGAAAACTATAAGAGGGGGTGGAGACAAGACCAGTCATTCCACAATGCTATACCGGTCCCTGCAGACTGTTCTCCCCCGGCTCCGGCCGTCTACTAACCAGTGATGTCATCACATCTAATACTCAGTATTAGAGGCAGAGGGCCATGCCACAGCCGGAGAGGAGGGGAGGGGGAAAGAGGAGAGCGCTCTCTGCCGCAGGACTGAGGATCGCGTGAGTATCTAATTTATTCAGTTAACCCTTGCAGCGCCAGGTAGCCCCACTGCAAGGGGTATGATATTAAATCTGAAGTTAAATCTATTTATATTTTAACCTTCTCTGGTTCCTCCCTCCCCCCTAGATAATGCCCACATATGCTGCTGAGCCTCCATGACTGAAATCCAATGAATGAAAGGGATGGGTCAGGGACAGTAAGGCTGGGGAGAAAAGACTAATGACGTTGTGTGTCCTCCGGCCAGGAAATGAGGCGGGTTATTATCGGACTTGCTGCAGCTTCTAATGCACATGGTGAGAAGCTCCCAGTGTGCAGTGACATCGGAGGAAGCCATATCAGTCCAGGAGAGGAGCCGCTACAACTGTGCAAGACTGAAGGGAAGGCCGGAGTTCAGATTTAAAGTGGAGCTCAAGCAGGAGCTCTTTGATTTTCAGTGTGAGAAAGGATGCCAGGATTTTATCACTGGGCCCCCACTGGATTTCCCATCACTTCCTGTCCCAATGACACCCTCTCACAAGACAGGAAGTCTCACAGGGAAAGGCAGAAGAATACAAAAAAACAGGAAAGACTTCGGTCCAGAAACCGACATTAATAACTTACGATCTCAGCTCCCCATCCAGGTCCTGCTGACGCAGCTTTCTGAAGTCCGCGTTCAGAGCGTCGTAGTTCTCTTCCGAGGTATCGTAGAATCCGGACGCCGGCTTCTTCTCAAAGGGGATCTCGGCATTGTAATCCACACCCCGCTTCTTCTTCCTTTTCTTCTGAATGTCGATCCCCGCCGCTCGCAGCTCCCGCCGCTTCTGAAGAGCCGCCAGACGCCTGGGAGCAGAAGAACGAGAGGACGGCATCAGCGGCCATTGTGCAATACACCAAGAGGCGGCACTGCGTCTACCCGAGGCCATACCGCCACTTACCTGGCCTCCTCCAGCTGCTTCTCTCTAGCTTTCCTCTTGGCCTTCTTACCCTGAGTGTTGGCAAGACGCGCTCTGGCTTCAGACAACATCTCCAGCTCGTCTGGAAAACACAACCGCAATATGGGGCTTATTACAAAACATGCATTGTGTATGACAGGATAGGAGCAATGAACCGCACAACCATAGGAAGGACTTCTATGTCTAATTTAAAGAAGAACTCCAGGAATTTTAAAAAAAAACGTACCCTTGCAGTGTGGCTGTTGCATTGCAAGGGTTGAGTGCTCGTTTTGTCTAGGAGGCTCAAATAAATAAGATATACAGGCAGTCCCCGGGTTACATACAAGATAGGGACTTTAGGTCTGTACTTAAGTTGAATTTGTATGTAGGTCAGAACAGGTAAATTTTTTAGTTTTGGATAGCACAGGGAAGGGTCACGGTTCTTTTGCCGTCTGTTTCTGTTGTTCAGAAGATTATATAAATTAAAACATTTTTTTTATTTAAAATGATACAGCAAAAAAAGTTTTTTTCTATTTTTAATTTTTATTTATTTTAAACTTTTTCTTAAAATTTTTTTTGTCTTTTGAATTTAATTTTTTTTCTTTTTTTTGTATTTTAATGCTGGGAGCCATAGCCAGCCTGCTATTGGATATTTCAAATTGCAATAGCCAATAGCAGGCTGGCTATTGCATCTGCCCTCTGTCAATCAGCAGAGGAGGGGCATGAAGGAGAACGTTCTCTATCAGGTCCCCCCATGTTGATTGACAGCAGACAGTGGACGGGTGCAATAGCCAGCTTGCTATTGGCTATTGCATTTTACAATATCCAATAGTAGGCTGGGTATGGCTCTCAGCCTGCATTGAAGAGTAGGCAGGGGGGCGGGGCAGAGGAGGATCGTCCGGACCAGGAGACGGAACGGCTTAAGAGGAAGCCGACACATCAGCGGTATGCAGCGGTCTGTGTCCCCGCCGCCTCCGCCAACACAGGCGCGGAGAGCAGCGGGGATTTGAAGGGACACAGGCCGCTGCAGCCACAGTTCTCCTAAATGTACTGGCGGCTGTGGATCCCGTTCGTAAGTCGGACGTCCGTAACCCGGGGACTGCCTGTACTCACCTGATCCTGGGTCCTGCTGTGGTATGCCCCTCAATATCCTCACAACTAATGCAACAACTAAGGTCCATGGACCTTCATAAGCTGTGATGACATCAGCAGTCCTTACACTGCCAGAGAGGAGAATAGTCTGTGGGGACCGGTCTTATCAGACAGGCGGGACCTAGGATCAGGTGAGTACATCTTTTCACAAGGGCTGATCAGAGGGAATCCGTGCATCCTGATCGGATGTGATCGTTTCTCCTCCTTCTTGCTCCGAGTCAGATGTAAACGGACTTGTGTCCACCAACATCAGATTACCCCCCGATCCGGCACAATCAGGTCTATCGAAACACAGCACTCTTCTGTTTGTTTTTCCGGACCTAGCTGGAGTCGGGGGTAACTGGTTGTAAGCGGACGCCTATCTGTTTAGACCTGCCTGCCCATAGACTAGCATTGGGCATCAAATTGGGTCTGCCTGAAAAACTGACAGGTGGACCTGATCGAACCGCCCGTGTGAAATCGCCCTAATTTAAGCAATTCAGAAGACGGAGGAAAGGCAAGTATTAGTCTAACTTTTTTTTTTTCCATTTTTAAAAAGGCACATTTTACACCTACTAATAGTAGTGATTTTTGAAGGGGGAGGGGCCCCGACAGGGTCAGCCGACCTTACATTTTACTGCAAAACTTCACATTAATTACCCCCACCCCAGCATGTCCTCAGCCCTGTGTAATCGCGGACATGTCTCAGTATATGCCACTGAGAAGGGGGTAGTTAAGTGACAATTCTCCTTTGCCCAGCATGAGTGTTCAGCTTTAAACTGTGTTGAATGAATCACCTTCATCCATGTCCACCGGGTCTGGCCTGGCAGGTTTTGTTTCGGGATTCGGGTCGATTTCTCCAGGTTTAAGCTTCCTGGGGTCATCTGCAGTCTCCTCTTCATTATCTCTCTGTGCCGCTTTATCTCTGAAGGTAAGAAACGACACATCGTTAGAAGTGTGCAAATAGCAGTGCTCACATTACAAGTACTCCTTTACCTGTCCTGGGGTACTGTGAGCCCGGCCTGGGTGAAGATGCCCCACAGGGAGGAGTGTAAACAACAAGCTGGGCTGACAGTGGTGGGTTATTGGAAGCACTGGTGCAGCAACATGTTACAGCAATCAGTGCCAAAGGTACCACTGACAGCAACTCCGCTATACACACCGAGCCCTCACAGGTCCTGGCAGCTACAGGAGTAAACGCAGCCAGGACACATACAAGATATCACACTTCAACCTTCAGTTGAGCCACTGGCTACTAATCAGTAGTAGGGATGCACTGATACCGATACTAGTATCGGTGCCGATACCGGGTATTTGGGAGTGTACTCTTACTCACCCAAATGCTCCGATACTTATCTCCGATACCGGAACGTCCGGTCAGAGCGAGATCTCCCTCTGACCAGCAGTGCCAAGGGAGCATGGAGCCGGCTTCCTTTCCAATCAGGAAGTAAGGCGGTGGGTTATGACGGCTTCACTTGCTCCTAAGCAGCCTGGCTTCCTAACCAATCAGGAAGGGGGCAGCACATCATGACTCGCATCCCGGATTCCTGATTGGTCAGTAAGCCACGCTACCAAGCAAAAAGTGACGCCATCTTTCTAGCCAATCATGAAGCTGGGTCATGACGTGCTGCCCGGCTTCGGGATTGGCTAGGAATCCGGCTTCACTTGTTGCTAGGCCTCCTGACCTCATCACTCGCCATCCAGCTTCTTGATTGGTCAGGAAGCCAGGTAGCCTCAGCAAGTGAAGCTGGAGTTCTTTCGCTAGAACACAGAAAATCAGTAAGCCCGGCCGGGTCATGATCTGCCGCCCAACTTCCTGATATTATGGGCACATGGCACCCATGAGTACTCGTACTCGATACCGAAAAACCGGTATCATGCATCCCTAATCAGTACTATGATCCTACTTACAATAAGTATTCGTAATGTTCCAGACACTGAGCCGCTGTGCGACCGATGATTGGGGCGATAGTCCTCCATTGTGTAGGCATCAGCTTGGCCAAGTGCAGCAGCTTCTCTTCCTCCTCACGAGACCATTCTGTCTTCTTTATACTCGGGTCCAGCCATTCGTACCTGTTGTCAAGGAACAATACAGCGGTAA